ACGTACGTATAATTAGTTGTGTATATATATATATATATATATATATATATATTTGTGTACTATAATAATGATAAAGCAGATTTCCAAAGAATAAAGATTTGTGTAGGCTAAGGAACAGCTAATAAAAAAAAGGCTATATGTACTTGCGCATTTTCTAGACTGTACAAACTTAACTAGTTCCCTTTTGTTCTGACTGCCAATAATCGGAGGCGTTGAAAAGTCAACAGGGAACAAGTTAATGAACGAACAATTAATTTCAACACTTTTGTAACTAACTCAAAAACTTAAGTCGGCGGTCTACAGTAACGTAAGACTACAATTTGAATTTTACTTTATTTTGTGAGGTTATTTATCTTTTGTTAATGTTTGTTAAAGTTTATTATTCAGAATTAAGAAACATAAACCTGAAACCATAGACGTTCCTGTAGTCTATCCAACTGGTTTAAGTTTAACGATAAGCCGAACTTGGTAACAGGACTATTGTCATATAATTACATATTATTTGTGTGTGTTTGTTGTTAAATCTACACAACGAGCTATCTGTATTCTGCTCATCGCGGGTATCGAAACCCGCTTTTTAGTTTATTATTGCTTAGAGAGCTGTACATTTAAAATGGTGGTTAGAAAACTGTTTATATAGTCATATGCATAAACCATCCTAATTCGATGTATTTTTATATTCCTAACTGTTACAAAGACATTAGTCGACGTACTGACAAACCTTTGATATAAAATAATTTTCCTTCACAAACTTTTGCAAGAAGACATAATTATAACGGGGTTGCATATTATTTACAAACCACAAAGTGTGTGTGTGTGTGTGTGTGTACTACTGAATAAGTACATATTAAGTTTTTTGGTGTTCATCACAAAAATAAAAAAAAAATTATGCTGGCATTTATAATCAAATCGATTAGTACCGGAACAATTGAGAAAAAATTAGCTGTATTTACTAAACATTTTATTAAAACGGTAGGCAAAAAACAACACAAAAAGAAGAATGAAAATGTCTGTTCACGTAAAACATTCTTTTTTAATACAATTCTGTAATAAGGAAAACAGAAATGATATAAGTGCTACTTGTGAATCCTTTACATATCAAAAATATACATTCCAAGCGTTAAAAATGCTGTTAAAGACATCACGCTATTAATG